CCCTTCCCCTTATATTTTGGAGGAGGGCTGTGTATGTTTAGTCAAGAACGTAATGGGAGAAATGTTTGTGGGGGCTGAAATAACCATGAACTGTTTTAATGTAAGAAATGTTTTAAATTATTACAGGAGGTTTGTTTAACTTCATTACAGGAATTCTCTTTCAAGGTTGTTTCCACCTATGTGGGCACCTGATCTTGGAAGCAATGGTGAATTCTCAGGGCTCTCATCGAAGCATTCAGTTGAAAGTAAGGATTTTTCAAACCTCCTGGGCACACAGAACTACTATCAGGAACAATTGCAAAAGTCTCATGATTTGGAGGTGTTACACAGAGGTTTGGAAGATCTTCATTTCATAGAGTCTTGGCTTTCTCCATCTGGCCCTTGCACTCAGCCTGATAATATACTGAAGAATGGTTACCCTGAAAATTCCTCTTTGCAAAATAATAATAATAATACAATTCACCAAGAAGGGTTTTCATTTCAAAATGTAGACTATCATCAGCATTTGTGCAGTTATGACCACATGAAGTTAAATGGAGACTATGAAAAAATCACTTCCAATTTTAGCACTTTCTCTTCTCAGAACAGAATGAAAGAAGGCACTAGCGTTCAGACAGAGTATTGGAAAACTGAAAGAACAAGAGGCAAAGTTATGAAAAATGATGCTGAAGAACAAACTAAGTATTCCTCTGATCTTTCCAATCAGCCTGTTGATGACTCTTGGGATAAAGTGTCCCAGAACAACCACTTGTTTTCTAAGAGATATGAAAACTTCACAGCTGCTCAGAAATTGCACTCAACTCTTCATCCATCACTATATTTTTTGGATCAACTCCCTAAAGAAAATAATTTTTCTGGAGGGACAAACAGAAAACCCCAGGACAACCACATGCAAAATGGTCATCACAGCTTTACTTTGGGGGATGCTTTTAATAATAATGAATGTCAGATCCATATTAGCCCTAAAGAATGCTCTCATAAAGCTTCTGAATATGATTTATCTGTAAAAAATGTTATGCAAAATGGGAGTTATTTATCTTACCATGGACATACGTGGCTGGATGGGAAAATTGCAAGTCCGACAGCTGCATCAGATGTCACGTATGGAAAGCAAGTGGTGACAAGTCCGCAGTCATCTTCAGGGGTTTCAACCATGTCCAGTGGTTCTCCCACCCATCAATCATCTTACTACTCGCAGATATCACCTGTCCTCCCTTCAAGGAAAGATGGAAGGTTACAAATACCAAACGGTGTTTCTAATAATTTAGGAGTTTCTAATGTCATCTCAGAAAATCAGAAGCAAATGAAACCCATTGGACGATCACAGCATGATTCATTGACTAATAAGGAGGGGCAATACCATAAATTCCCCATTAATTTTTCATCTGACTGGTTAACACAACAGAATGCTGTAAGTGGAGACCCTGAAAAATACCACAGATTTCCAAAAAAGCAGATCGAAGAAAACAATAATAAAGATGATAGAAGAGGCAGAAGGAATTGGATTCCTCATTTAGGATATACAACCCCAAACCGTCAGCAGTTCAATATGTTCCAAAAAACCCATGAACAGAATGGTGGTAGCATGTCAGACTTCATCAATCCTTCTGTTCTTCCTTCTTTCCCATTAATGTCTGATTTTAAGCAAAATCCCAACTTTCCTCCGTTTAATCACCATTTGTTTTCATCAGCAAACAATTTCAGTTTCCCTCCATCAACATTTCCATTCTCAGAACTTGTTGATCTTTTTCATTACGATGATTTTAACCACTTGAATCCCTTCATCAATGATCTCTTTTGTGGGGAAATAGCTGCACCTTACTTTGCCTTTCCAACACCATTTAACAAGTACAGACCTCCAAGAAATCGCAGTGGACCTGCTAACGAGCTTCATATCCGATTGGAGGAGTGTTATGAGCAGTGGAGAGCATTGGAGAAAGAGAGAAAGAAGGTAAAACACAGCTGATAATAACTTTCTGTCGAAGCTGGTGATTGCATGAAAGAATTTGATGTTTCTATTCACAATTTCTATCATTCTATAATTTATAAAGAGTAGATATTCTGGGCTGTCACTCCTTTTTGAGGTGAGAATTCTGTTGTCACGTTGTTGGTTTGAAATACCTAGAACACCATCTACAACATCTGCTTTGAATGTAATGCTTGTGTTTGGCATAACTGGTTTGAAATGGTGTGTGGCGTTGGCATAACTGGTGTGAAATGGTGTGTGGCGTTGGCATAACTGGTTTGAGATGGTGTGTGGAGTTGGCATAACTGGTTTGAAATGGTTTGTGGCGTTGGCATAACTGGTTTGAAATGGTGCGTGGCATTGGCATAACTGGTTTGAAATGGTGTGTGGCGTTGGCATAACTGGTTTGAAATGGTGTGTAGCTTTGGGCTTCACTTTCTAAGGCTCTTTCCCCTGAGACAGGGCTGCTAATATAACATTTCTCTCTGTTAACCTACAACATTTGCTACAAAAAATGTGGCAACACTGGCCAAAGTGTTGAATTATTGTCAGCTTGGATGTTTCTCTTTTACATGGTCAATAGAAGACCATTAGCTAGTTGTTATTAATTCAGTAGGCCCTTTGATACGATTTTAGAACCACCAGCCATATATGATGATGTAGCAGAGCCTTCACTACCACAGGTGATTCTTCAATGTTGGTATTTTATACACCTTCATCCTCTCAATGTTCATATTCCATAGCTTGGTTCGATGGATCTCTCTTATTTTCTTGTCCATGCTCCATCTCTCCAACTAAATCTTTAACTCAAATATTATAAACCCAGGCTCTCCTTTTCCCTGCACAGTCATTTGAGGAGAGAAACTTTTGTGGTGCATTCTGACTGCCTGATGGGAATGTGCCCGGACTGTGTTCATCCCTGTTTCTAGGTACACTTTAGGAGAATGCTAGTTGGCAGGGCTTAAAATTCTTTTATAAATCTCAATTTTATAGGGATCTCTCATTTAAAAAAGTTCTATGAACTGTTTGGAATTGCCTACAATATTAAATGTGCATGTGGCTTAGTACTGCAAATTGTTTATTAGTTGTAATTCTTAAATACTTGGGAGTGTTATGTGAATTCGTGACCCTTTCTCCATCCATTTTTTTCTCAGTGTCTTTCAGGCTTCTGAGATGAATACAAGTGAAGTCAATCAGCTCTTCTAATTCGTGTTAGATGAGGGTAGAGACTAAATAATATAGATGTGTCAGTAAAGCAAAAAGAAAAGGACTTCAGCCCATATTTTCAGTATGAATGTGCATAGTATGAATGTGGGCATGACCTTGAACTGCAACGTGGCACCTCATCTTTCTCCAAGTCTCTTGTAAACTGAAGAAGGAACAAAATACAGAATCAGCTGCTAGTTGTGTCTTTTTTTTTTTTTTTTTTTACTCCAAGTATAAGAATTTCCTATCCAAAAATAGGTTTGGTGATGTTTAGTCACTGCCTGCGTTGTATGATGATTTGGCCAGTTCTTTTCTCCACGGGGAGTTTGGCAGCTGTGTTGATGACTTTTTCAGAGTTGATAACAACCTATGTTAAATTTGGCTTAATCCCATGCACTTCAACTACAGTTTCTGCTGCTGTGATCACCTGTTTCTTTTGTTAATAATCATAGAATCATAGAATGGTTAGGATTGGAAGGGACCTTAAAGATCGTCCAGTTCCAACCCCCCTGCCAGCAGCAGGGACACCTTCCACTAGACCAGGTTGCTCAAAGCCTCATCCAACCTGGCCTTCAACACTTCCAGGGAGGGGGCATCCACAGCTTCCTTGGGCAACCTGTTCCAGTGTCTGACCACCCTCACAGTGAAGAACTTTTTCCTAATATCTAATCTCAACCTCCCCTCTTTCAGCTTAAACCCATTTCCCCTTGCTTTGTCATTAACTGCCCTTATGAAAAGTCCCTCCCCAGCTTTCTTGTAGCCCCTTCAGGTATTGGAAGGCCGCTATAAGATCTTCCTGGAGCCTTCTCTTTTTTAGGCTGAACAGCCACAACTCTTTCAGCCTGTCAAAGATAGGAACTGCACTTCTAATGTATTTGAAAAATCTAAACAGCCCCCCCCAAAATATTAATTCTAATACTGTACTAATTTTAACCATTTACCATGGCTATTTATTTCCACTCCAGACTGAGGCTGACCTTGCTAGAAACTTTCCAGGAAAGCGCGTCTCTAGCTCAAATAACACTCCTGTGTCCCGACTTCCTGCTAACCCATCACGAGTTGATCGTTTGATCGTCGACCAGTTACGAGAACAAGCCAGGGTAAGACTTCTTGACCTAGAATTCCTGCATTTCTTTTTTGTTTTGATGTTTATTCGTTTAATGGAGACTTAGATTTAGCGATTTTGGTGTTTGTGATGTACCTGGCAGGTCCTCACGTTAATAAGAAAGATGGAAAAGCTTCGTGGTGCCCCTGTTCACAGTAACATACCCACTGCGTTGGAACACCAGCTGGAAGCCATTCACGTCACCCAGGCCAGGCGTAAGGATGAGATTATTAATGCTGCTAATCCACAGAGACAAGGAGCACCACGTTATAACAATGAGAAAGGTAACTGCTTTCCATTCCTGTAGTTTTAAAAGCTTTGTCAAAGATGTGATTGTGAAAATATGGCATTGTGAGATTTGCAGATTTGTAATAGGCAGTAATTATTGTAACTTCAGCCAAAAAAAAAAAAAGTTTATAAATCTAAACCTGTCAGTTTAAAAAAAAAAAAAATTTAAATTATTTTAAGAGATACTTCTTCTTTTCTGTTTTTCTGTTATTGGTTTAAACATTTTGAAATGTTCTCCTCTTGACTAAAAGAGAACTGTAAAAACCTCTCAGTGATACTATATAACCATTTTCTTCACTGTGAGGGTGGTCAGACACTGGAACAGGTTGCCCAAGGAAGTTGTGGATGCCCCCTCCCTGGAAGTGTTGAAGGCCAGGCTGGATGAGGCTTTGAGCAACCTGGTCTAGTGGAAGATGTCCCTGCTGCTGGCAGGGGGGTTGGAACTGGATGAGCTTTAAGGTCCTTTCCAACCCAAACCATTCTATGATTCTATAAGTAATTGTCTGCTCCACCATTGCGCCATGGGCTGCAGGGAACCTCATTTACACCCCCTACTCTTCTGTGATCCTCTTTGTTTAGGCTGATGGTTGTCATTTGTTCAGGTCAATGGCCTCTCCTTCAGGTGTTCTCCTCCTCCTCCTCCTTTTCAAAACCAGTTCTTCCCTCATAAATACTGATTTGAA